CTCTATTTTTAATAGGTCATGCTCTGCTACCTCCTTTTTGAATACTGCATATACTGCCTCAGCTGAGGCTCCATAGGTTGGGTCTTTTACATGGCAATCTCCTGTGATTGCTGTTTTGTGGGGCATATCTTTCCTGTTTTCTTAAGGTATTCTCCTGTATTATCTTTGTAATGCTTTTATGGACATGAGCATATTGTCTTGGAATATTAGAAGCCTTAAAGATGAATTCAAATGCTCTGTCATGTTGAATTCTCTGTACTCCCATAAACCACGTATCTTATTCCTGCAAGGAACTCATCTTTTGGGCAACAAAATCCTTGCTCTTCGTCGGGTCTGGGTGAAGCAAACCTTCCATACCACATATTCTTGCTATGCAAGAGGGGTTGCCATCTTACTAAACAAGTTTCTGCCCTATAAGGTTGATCACATTATCATGAATCTGGGAGGGCGTTACTGTTGCTTGAATTTAAACTTATCCAATCCTCATAGAAGTGCTAACCAAAATTTGACCAGCTGGGCTAATTCTTTCATGCTTACCTAAATTTGGAGATTGATGCACCCTATGCACAAATCACATTCTTATTCCTCTGCAACTCACAAATCTGGTTCTAGGATATACTTTTTTTGTTTGTACTACCTCTGTCTTGTCTCTTGTGGGCTCAGTCTTCAACCTTGTTCAGGAATTTTGGTCTGACATTATTTGCTTTGTCCACTCTCTAACCGCTATCTCTGTCCCTCAGATGGTCACAGTCTGTCCTCTGGGCCTGGCAAACTCCTTGGCATTTACAAGAGTGATCAGGACCTTGCTTGATCTGTTGCTCTTCTATGCCAATGGTATTGGAACACCCTGATCTTGCCTATTACTTCTGACCTGTTTGTATCATGATTGGGATATTTCCCTCATAGCTCCTTTTGAACTCATGGCCACTCCTTGCATTCCAACCTTGGAGCCTACACTCACTTTCTTTGTCATGCTCTAATGTAACTGATAATAATGAGTGATTCACAGATGTTGTTACCACATTCACTCTATGTGAGGTATACCTGAGCTGTTGTTTTTCTGTGCCTAACAATGAACAATTATTGAATGGTAAAATTATGTTTTCCAGACATTTTGCCAATCATAACACGAATGGACAGTCTATCTCTCCCTTGTAGTTGTGTTGGCTTTTATGTCCATTAAGTAAGAATTTATAATCATGTCTCACTCTGGTCACCTATAGCCCAACATGTTCTGTATAGACATACTGATAACATGCAACCCCCCGCACATTTTGGGTTTTAGACAGGGTTCATAATAGTGAGAGGGGAGGAGATTTTTATAATCATTAAATTAGAGGACAGATGGATTTATAGGTTGAAGACCCATATTTTACCAGTTCTGTCAATTTCAGTTGTTTTCATCATATCATTTTTTTTTCTTTTTGCTAAGTTGCACACTACACTGCTCAAAAAAATTAAAGGAACACTTTGAGAACACATCAAATCTCAATGGGGAAAAATATCATGCTGGATATCTATACTGATATGGACTGGGTAATGTGCTAGGAATGTAAGCATATCCCATCATTTGATGGAAATTAAAGTTATAACATACAGAGGACTGAATTCAAAGATACCCTGAAAATCAAAGTGAAAAAATGATGCAGCAGGCTAGTCCATTTTGCTGAAAATTCATTGTAGCAACTTAGCATGGTACTTGGTATGGCCCCCACGTGCTTGTATGCATGCCTGACAACGTATATGTATCATTCTAGATCCAAACCAAAGCGAAAAAGAAGTTTGGCTTATGTACAATTGAAAGTGGTAGTAAACTCTTTTATAATACATTTTTCTACAGGTAAGCTTATAATAAAGCATATCTGTAAGTAAAATGAATATCTCCTAAATGTGCACCGTTTAGGAGATATTCTCTTTTTGAGAGTCGGCACATGTGTTCTGAAGGAATGACCTATCCATGCCATTCCTTTAGAGCGCTGTGTTGTGGCCCAGGACTCTTGCACACATGCACGAGAGTGACGTCATCACAGCTCAGCCAGTAACACGGTGAATCCGGAAGGAAAACCGGGTGAAGATGGAACCTCTGCAGCAGTGATAGCGTGCTGCTAGAGGGCTTTGTTTTAAGGTAAGTCCTTCATAATGTGTGATGCATATTAGCCCATTATGACATTGCCTAGCTGGGGATTTTTCTTTTTAAGTTGTGGTTTACTACCACTTTAATGTGCTTCAACAGACTCCTTAATGAGGCCCCCTTGCACCCCAGCATGGGCTTCTATGGTTATAGTTATGCCACTGAGTACATGTAGTTCATTTCATTTATGGGACCAGTTGATTAAAGTTTATTTAAACTTGAAAACAAAAATAATAATGTAATGTATTGCAGCTTACCAGTCCTAAAATGTGGTGACTGCATTCATTTGTTTTTTTTTTTTCTTTCTTTCTTTTATTTTCGTCAGGTAATTCTTTTTTTTTTATCTCCTGTATAACCTGTAAATAACACACTTCCTGACCCTGGTTAGCTATGTCCCACTGTTTCTATGGAAAGAGTCATAATTAGCAGCCAGTCTAAAATAATACAGCCACCACAGATGCGATGCACTGCAACATATTGCAGTGTTATTCTGGAGTTTAATTATTCTTTGAGCAGAGCACTATTTTAAATTTCACTGAGCAACTTTAGGAGCATTGTACTACAACAGTAGAGAAGAAAACGGTAAAAAAAACGACTTTACTTTTCAGTGTATCACTAACAATAAATTAATATTAAATATTACATATAACTCATGAATGCATTTTAAACAATCATATTATAGCAATAAATCTTACACAGGCAATAGAGTTAACTTGACAGTGTATTTGGGAGACTGTTTTAACGTGGTTGCAATGTAAATTGCACATAAATATGAAAATGAATGATGTCATCTGTTAAATCTTTCAAAAAATTCTAAAAGATCTTCAATAGCTTTCTCAGCATTGCAATACGAATATATTATTTCACAAGTGTGCTGAAAATAAAGAGTACAATCAATTAATACTCAGCCAGAAATTTGCAAGGTATTGTGTCAGTCACAATTTTAAATCAATTAATATACTATATTTATTAGCATCTAGACACACACACACATACAGTATATACAGCAGATCACAAACACATACTGTATACAGTATATAGCATTGCTGTTAATAATCTACATAGGATAGGAGCACGTATTTAAGGTAAAACTATTATACCGACTACTATACTGTCTCAATCTGTTCTTGTGCTTGTTGTGCTGAAAGTTTTACTTTTGTAAGAACATCTTCAGAAAAAGGTGTACTATACTGACCATCAATATGATAGGGTGCACTTTACTGACCATCAATATGATAGGGTGCACTTTACTGACCGCCAAAATAGCAGGATGCACTGTTCTGACCACCAGTGTCACTGGTGGTACTACACTGTTAAATGTGTCACTGTTATTATCATTACCCATGTATGTTAATCGCAGCACATTTTTTTCCTGCATATTTAATGGTTGTCCATTTCTTGGCTGTGAATTACAATAGTTGCCCGTTTCATGCCTGCATACTTATTGCAGATCTGAATGGGTGTTGGAATGCATGTGGGTAAATGGATTATGCATTACATCAATATTTTCAAATTACAAGGCATTATGGCATCAATTGTAGGTGGTCAGAGTTCCACTCTGTGCTAAATGTTGTAATGTCTCTGTGGGATGTCTGAGCTCTCATTTCCTCTAATGTCCGTTTTAAGGAAATCCTGGTCTGTGGTGTCCCAGTGAAATCTGGAGGGGATGATTTGGTGCCACTGCACTTGCCCCAGGGGCATTTTTAGTGGCTGTGCTCCTTGGAACCTGCTTTTATTGAGTATGTAATAGGCAATAGACTTTATGTGATTAAGAGATGTAAATGGATATATACTGTATATATAAATGATAGATTTCTAGTAATTTTTTTTTAATACAGAACTAGCCTTTGTCACCCTCCTGAGGAAGTGGAGAACATCTGAGAAACGCATAGAAGAATAAAGATTCCTAGCCCACTGTATCATTAGTCATCAACAATGTACAGGTGAACATTGGATGTGGTATATTGACTAGCGGGCTATATGAAAGCGATATTCAAATTGTCATGAACTTCAACATGAACTTTAGACTAAGATATCTACTGTATATAATGGAGGCACTTTATTATCTATACTTTTATGTGTTCTTTTTAAAATGTTATTAATAAAATGTTGTACCTTTTTTTTAAAAGTCTGCTTATTTGTTTTTTTTTGGTTATTATTCTTACATAATTATGGGATGTGGTACTTACAACTTTGAACCCACACCATTATACTTACCTATATGTCAAAAGCCCAAAACAAATACTTAACATATTGCAGTGTGATGGCTGCCTTCATTTTATTTTTTTAACACACTTCCTGTACCAGATCAGCAATACTTACTGCCCTGTATATAGATACTGTACAGGACAGTCAGTGTTGCTGACCTGGTACAGGTAGGCTGCTCTCCTGATTTGGACAACAAACACCCCCCCCTCTCCTCACCTCCATTATATATAAGGGTGTTGATTTGTAGTCCACAAAAGATATATGAGAAAGCTGATAAGTTACAAGGGCACAAAATAGCTGACAGGGTCAACAGGATTTTTTCTGTGCTTGCAAAACATATACTAAACCTTAAAAATGAAAACAAATGCTGCCATTACATCCAAAGACTACAACATATTACATTTGTCATTCTTGGATTTTGGTATGCTATAATCCAATTATGGGCAAGCAAGCCTTCATTCCTTATTAAAACCATCTTCAAATGATTATGTGTTCACAATGAACAAAGATTCCCTTGGCTAAAGGAAATTCATACTACATTTGTAAATCAACCCATATGTCTTCATTAATGCAAGACCATATCTCGCTGGATCTACAAGTTATCAAGTGTGACTGCATGCTATTATTAAAGTATATGTCATGTCAAGCCATTTTTTTTCTAGTTTTGGATAGAGTCAGGAAGGGTTAGAACCAGGGGTGGACTGACCATTTGGAAACTCAGGCAGTAGGGGGCCCCATAAGATGCCCCTGGTACCTTTTTCATAGGCTTTTTTGAGTTTGGGCAAGGACACAGGGGCCCCATGATCCCCTATTGCCCGCGGACCCCATGAGTTGTCAGTCCACCCCTGGTTAGAACTACTGTTAGGTTTGCTCCCTGTGGCTCTGGTAAGAAGATTTACCCTCACTTCCTATCCTGCTAACAAAGTTTCAGGATACAGGAGGTAAAAGAGAACCTGCATTGGTGACAAAGACAGGAATAAAAAAAAGTGACGGGGTTCTATTCCCTATTCTACTGAAGGGAAGTGTTGTTATTTGTGTGCATTGCTGTTAAAGAGTTCCCCTCACTTCCTTTTTGGTAAAACTTGTCAGCAAGACAAGAAATAAACTTAAATGCCTCTACCAGATCCCCATATAGCAGTAACAATCTGACAGTGGTTTTAACCCTTTCCTATCCCATCCAAATCTAAGAAAAACAGTTTTTGCTGGATGTACATTGTAAGTTATCATTTTGCTTTGAGATTTAATTAATACTTACAGACTTTGCAATGGTATGTAAGGACATAACTAATCTATCCAGGATGTCCTTTACTTTCTGATTGCCATTACATAACTTCATTTCTGAGAGAGCATGGCTTGCTCTACATGACATTTCTTGAACTGACCAGCTCTGTTTGAATAAAGAAAGAATACATCAATTCCAATTAACTCCGGCACTAGGAAAGCAAATGGTTAAACAGATATACAGTATGTAGAACCACCAAGTTACAAAAAGATTTGCTTGCTAAAGTAGATCAGTGTAGAAAGTGTAAAAAGTAACAATACACATGACACATTACCTAAATCAATAACACTTATTGTGGATTCACTTTTGTTGACATTTCTTTTGCACATTAGTTATATGCTTCTATATGGATTGTTCAGTCATTTTTGGGTTTTATGTGTTTGTTCAGTCATTTATTTATCAGTAGTGCAACATTTTTTTACACATTTTGTTTGCATTTATGTGTATTGTTACTCTCTTTTAGGAGAAGTAGCGCTGCACCATTTCTTTTCATACATTTATTTCACTATTTGATTATAGTTAGGTGCTAGCAGACACTTAGATGTGGGTTAGTTCATTTGGCAGCACAAGAGGCTTCTCTCTTTTTTTTTCTTGTTGAACTGATATACAGTATGTAGAACCACCAAGTTACAAAAAGATTTGCTTGCTAAGGTAGATCAGTGTAGAAAGAATAAAAAGTGTAAAAAGTAACAATACACATGAAACATTACCTAAATCAATAATGCCTTAAAAAAAACAAACAAAACAAAATAACAGCTACACAAATGAAAGTATAAAATAAAACGTTTTCATAGCCCATGTGGATGCACAACATTGTGCCTCCACACAAAACATGAACAGGCAGAGTGTAAGGTAGATGACATCCAGACACTTCACAGGTAGGGATAGAAAAAACAGACACTTTGCTTTGCCAGCATTCCATCAATTTATAGAATTCCGTCATTTTAGCCAAATGAAGTCAATGGAAAAGGAAAATTTAAGTGGTTTAAAGTGATATTTTAAAAAATGATAAACATGTTATACTTACCTGCTCTGTGCAGTGGTTTGGCAGAGAGCAACCCCGATCCTCCTCCTCTCGCGTCTCCCGATGGTGCTCCTTGCCCCTCCCTCCTGCTGAGTTCCCACAGAGCTAGCAGCTGGCCCTGGGGGACCCAAGCATGCTTCCTCCTGAGCCGCTTCTCTGTGTGTTCATTTACACACAGAGTGCCCCTCTCTCTCTACTCATGGGCTCACTGGCTGTGATTGACAGCTGTGGGAACCAATGACTCCCACTCAGGGGCAAACTGACCATTTGGAAACTCGGCACTGCCCAAGGGCCCGGGGTCAGTAGGGGGCCCCATGAGATGCCCCTGGTACCTTTTTCATAGGCTTTTTTAAGTTTGAGCAAGGACACAGGGCCCCCATGATCCCCTATTGCCCGGCAGCCCCATGAGTTGTCAGTCCACCCCTGCTCCCACTGCTCTCTCAGCCAATGATGAGGGAGAGTTCCTAGAGAGGCGGGGCTCTCGTGCACATTGCTGGAGGTAAGTATTTGGGGAGGGGGCTGCACACAGAAGGTTTTTTACTTTCATGTATGCACCTTTTTACATAAACATACTGTATATTTTAGGCCCAAAATATAATCAGCAAAGTACTCTGTCTTCGGGGATATCACACATGTACAGTTCTTCAATAAACATATGGAATGGTACAACTCTAAGAGCCAGTTCACACTACATGCATTTCAGTTGCTTTTTTCTGCATCCAAAATGCATAGAAAGTAGGTTATATGGTTGTCAATGTCATAGTTCACATCAGTGCTTGCAGTTCCAGTGTGTCCAGATTGCAGAAAAAAAGTAGAACAGGTTGCATTTTTTCTGCACAGAACTGTATTGGAATGCGGTAAAACACATCAAAAACGCACGGAATGCACAAGTCTCTTTAAATTAAAGAATAAGAGAGGTGGGAAATGAACTGGAATGCATAAAAAATGCACTGAAATGCGTAAAAAAAACATGAAAAAAAACGCACCAGACCATTTCAAAATTGGAACACATCTGGAACGCATCTGGATTGCATTTCTATAATGTGAACCAGCCCTTAGACAAAGTATCTGTTTTAAACACTTGAGTACCTGCCAATAAAACTGCATTACCAGGTCGTTTTTCAGCTTTCAGTGCTGTGATAATTTGACTGACAATCAATCTGTTATGCAACAATGTATCCAAATGAGTTTCTTATATTTTTTCAGACAGATAGAGCTTTCCTTTGGTGGTATTTAACAACATTTAACCACTTTAAGACCATCTGATAGAAGATGTACTGTTACAGGGCGGCCTCTCTGCACAAAATTACGTAAATATACGTGATTTTGCATTGCTAGGTAGGGGGCGCGTGTGCTGCCCTACCCGTGCTGTCATTGGCTCCCGGAGATGTCAATCACCAGGTACTGGCCAGCGATTCATGGCTGGGACTTGGTGATCGGCAGATTCGGTGATTTGTGTTGTATAAACAACACAGATCTTTCTCCTGTCAACGGGGGCGTGCTGCTTTCTATCTCTCTGCAAAGTAGAGATAGAAAGCAGTACGTCCCCTAGTAAAACAGCACACAGTGAACACAAAACTGTACACAGTTAACCCTTTCAACTCCCCAGATGTTAACCCCTTCCTGCCCAGTGTCATTAGTACAGTGTCAGTGCTTTTTTTTAGCACTGATTACGGAATTAGTGTCACTAGAGGTGTAAGTGGAAATTAGTCAGTTCCCACCCACTGTAAGTGTCAGAATGCCTGTTGCAGTCCCAATATAAGTCGCTGATTGCTGCAATTACTAGTATTAAAAAAAAAAATTCCAGTATATACTGTATACCTCCATTTGTAGATGCTATAAATTTCACACAAACCGATTAGTATACATTTATTTGGAATTTAATTTATTTTGCCAAAGACATGTGGGAGGATACATTTTGGCCTACATTTATGAAAACATTTTACTTTTTACATTTTTTATGGGGTATGTTTTATAGCCAAAAGTAAAAAATATTGTTTTTTAAATTTTTTCGTTTATAATGCGAACAAATAAACAACCCAGTGATGATCAAATACTACCAAAGGAAAGCTCTATTTTGTGAAAAAAATTATATAAAAATGTAATTTATGTACAGTGTTCCATGACCGCGCAATTGTCAGCGCCGCATAGCAAAGAATAAAGCATAAAGTAGTGGTTAAAAAAATAAAACAAAACTCCTTTACTTACTGTTAAAATAAACATGCCAGAAAGTAGACACCCCAAGATGATCTCATTTTTTGCCAGAATGTTTTGGAAATGAAGAAACATGCTGGTACTGAATGGGTTAAACACGAGAATGGTGCACCAGATACATTAATGTACAGGTCATACAGGTCACATACAGTGGCATCATGAAGATGAATGGGTTAATGTGCAGACATGCAGGATAAAGGAGGTGAAAAGGTTAGTATACAGGTCACTAGAACAGTGGTCTCCAAACTGCGGCCTGGGGGCTGGATGCGGCCCTTTGCTTGCCTTTAACTGACCCTTGAGGCACTTTTCCTCCCACTGATACAAGGCACTATTCCTCCCTCTGACACCAACAATGGGGCATAATTTCTGCTACTGACAGCAGCAATGGGTCCCTATTTCTCCCACTGACACCAACAACAGGGCAATATTCCACCCACTGACACCAATGATGAGGCACTCAAACTGACTGACACCAGCGATAGGGCACTATTTCTCCCTCTGACACCATGATGAGGCACTCAAACTGACACCTACGATAGGGCACTATTCCTCCCTCTGACACCAATGATGAGGAACCCAAACTGACACCAACGATTGGGCACTATTCCTCCCTCTGACACAATGATGAGGCACTAAAACTGACACCAACGATAGGGCACTATTCCTCCCTCTGACACCAATGATGAGGAACCCAAACTGACACCAACGATAGGGCACTATTCCTCCCTCTGACACCAATGATGAGGAACCCAAACTAACACCAACGATAGGGCACTATTCTTCCCTCTGACACCAATGATGAGGAACCCAAACTGACACCAACGATAGGGCACTATTTCTCCCTCTGACACAATGATGAGGCACTCAAACTGACACCAACAATAGGGCACTAATTCCTCCCTCTGACACCAATGATGAGGAACCCAAACTGACACCAACGATAGGGCACTATTCCTCCCTCTGACACCAATGATGAGGAACCCAAACTGACACCAACGATAGGGCATTATTCCTTCCACTGACAACAGCAATGGGGCACTATTCCTCCCACTAATACCAATGATACATTGTTTACTCCCACTGACACCGGGACAATTTTAACTCCCAATGGCCACAGAACACCCCCCTAATGTCTGAAGGACAGTAAATTGGCCCTTTGTTTAGAACGTTTTGAGATCCCTGCGCTAGAGAGAGAGTGTGGAGATGTATGTGTAGAAAAGGAGGAGAGTATGAAAGAGTTAATAAAAACAATCCTTGTGTCAGTGAGACAGAATGAATGGATCTGCAGCTGCTGATCCATTAATTCAGTTCACCTTTACAGTTACACAACCTCTATCCTTCCCCTGTTTTAAGGGGAAGG